ACACACACACACTCACTCACACACACACACACGCGCACACACACACACGCACACACACACACACACACACACTCACACACACACTCACACACACACACACACACATACACACACTCACTCACACACACTCACACACTCACACACACACACTCACACACCAAAACGAAACAGAGCCAAATTCAATAAAGTAAAAGAAAGACTGTAAAAATAATAATGGCTTAGAACTACACGACAATGTATTTCATGACATAAGTTGTATGCCATTTTAGACAACATTTTAGGACATGACCCGTGGTGGTTGGCGGGTGCTCTGGTGCAGTTTGCTCCTTCCTTTTTTCTTATCAAACATAACACATCGTCCTTATCTCTCCTCCTCTTTCTTGATTGTGTTTGTTACTTCCTTGTCAGATCTCTTTTCTTCGGCATTTACGTGACCTTACTGTGTTGCAAGTGCCGTAAAAAACATAACAATAACATGAAGAAATGACCTTTGAAAATACAGTGGCTACTCAGTACTTCATTTATTGCTGTGCTCATGTTAGATATAATATGTGAGGCAGCGTGGTGGAATCAGGCTCTCGTCAATTTTTGGGCATGTAGAGTTATTGGTATCATCTTAAAGCTTATTCATTTGTCTTTATTTGGATGAAAAAAATATACATTTATCTTAAATACAAGTCGAGATATTTGCGAAAGAAGAAGGTGGGGGTCACCTGTTTTCAGACGTGAAATTAGTGAGAAAATGGCCTCAAAAGATTAGATATTTCCTTAGCTTAAGAGTTCGTGGTAACTGAAAATTTACATGTTTGTGCCTTTAATCTACGCTTTTCAGAAAAATCCCCGCAGAAATGAGTTCTATGATGGGCATGAAAGGTGTTGAGCTAAAAAACAAAAATTTGATTTTAAAAATTCACAAACCTGAGGAAAAATGCCAGTTTCTTCACTTTGATTATTTTGACGAGAGCCTGATTCCACCACGCTGCCTCACATATAATTTCTCTCTCCCAGTATAATGATATGAAGCAAAACAATATTATTTGTCTACGCTTCCTGAAGTAAGAAAAAAAGCGCTCTTTTTTAAATTTGTAAGTGGCTTGCTCCATCTTTTCTATCAAACAAACCTCGCCCTTATCTCTCTCCCCCCCCCTCCCCCACCCTTTCTTTTTATTCTCCTTTTTTGGTATGTTACTCTCTAGTAACACCTCTAATCTTCGGCACTCATAATATGACCTAATTGTGGTGCATGTGCCGTAAAACTTTTTCTAAAACAAACCAGTAGTAGTTAGTAGTGCTTCTTCTTCTTCTTCTTCTTCTTCTTCTTCTTCTTCTTCTTCTTCTTCTTCTTCTTCTTCTT